GATTAAAAAAGCACCGTGTGGAGAACTCAATTCACATGGAAGGGCGTACGCGCCGTTGAGAAGTTGGCGAGATATTTTCCTGAATCAGTGCTAGCCGTTCGTTGCCGCGATTTTATTTTGTCGCGTTGATCATTCACCCGCGACGATTAAAATAAAGTAACAGCAATACGTATATATCGCACCACTGGCACAGAAGACTGCCACGATATCAAGAGCGAGTAGACTTCGTTTCAAAATCATAAAATATTCTTATAAATTTGCTACAATGGAAAAAAAAACGATTTTTTTCTAAAATTAATATCACACGATTATCTCTGATATATAATATTTTAATAAACTATTACTTTGTTATATAAGTTGCGCAAAATTTTAATTTAATTTGGATTGAAAAGATGAAATTGAAAGATTTTGAATTATCATTTATTTATATTTTCCTCAAGTTGATAAATATATAAACATTTATACAAATGCAAGCTATAGACAAAATATTTTTATTAATTTTATATGTTGCATTTTTAATATTATATTACAAGAAAATTTCTGCAATTATCGCGCTTTTGATTAACGCAAGTCGATGCTGTTGATGAATTAATTGCAGCGAAGTGATGCAAGGAACGCAATCGTGTTACAAAATCGATCTCTTTAATTCTCTAGTCTTCTTCCAGCATATGAAGTTTCCTTCAGACATTTATTTTTAACGCAAGACATGCGGCCAAACGGAACGTGAATAGGTCGCGTGAACTTGTTACGAACGTGAGAATCTTGAGATGCATTTGCTGTCGGATGAGAACGATTAAGCAGAAATGAGAGAAGATGAGTAACTATGATGACCGCTAGTCGTTACGGAATATTTCTTTGGTAGGTGACGTGCGTTGGGAATGCGATCGCCGCGGAATGCTTTTCTCGAGGAACACATATATGCGAAATAATCCTAATAATAAACAATGAAGATGTTCTTGTCTTTTACCATAGAGATAAGGATTTATATCGTTTTTACTGTATTTTGACCTCGTTCGTCATATATACTATTATTACCATTACATTACAATTTATCGAGTTGCTCTGGTAATCTATCGATTATTATTTAACAAGTAACTTGCATTTATTGATCAATACACTTGTTGTACTTGTAATATGATTACGGTAGTTGCATTGTGCTCTTATCATTACTAATTGCTATAAAGCAAGAAACACATAAAAGTCAATAAAAGATCAAAATGACTTTATTTTGATTCTCAATGTTAATAAACAGTTTAATGTAACTCTAAAAAAATCATTATTTTAACTTTTATGACGTTTGACGTTTGACAAAATCGTTTTGACTTTTTCTTAACTTCTTGATGGAAATTTTTCTCAGAATTTTTGATATAATTTTTCAGAATTTCTGTATAATTTTATAACTTTCTCACATTTTTTATACCAATTGGAACATTTCTCAGAAAATCTATATCTTTTCGCAAAATTTTTCATATATGTTAATTATGAAATATCGTAAGATTTTTAAGATTTTTAAAAATATGTAATAAGTATAATTTCTGATAAAATGTTATAAAATCTAAAAAATTTTAAAATACTTTTTAAAAATTATGGGATTAGAAATTTCAGAATATTTCAGAATTTATTTATATGAAAAATTCTGAGAGAAGATGTAAACTTCCCGAATATTTCTAAGTATTTCTGAAAAATCCAAATCATATAAAAATTATGAGAAAAATTTTCATCAGGTTAGGTTAGTATATTCCTTGGAATTTATTCATTGTATATCAATTTGCTATGATTGTAAAGTGCCTTTTATAACAATATAAAAGCGCAATATATAAAAAAATCCAATCGAGATCATCTATTTCGCGGAATTAACGCTCGTATATAAAAGAAGCATGAAGAATTACGTTAGACTTATAGGGTATAGTATCTCTTTCAAATAGTCATGTACACATCTCACGCGTGATGTGGCACGTGCCTGGGAATTGGGAAGTCAACACAGGAGAGATCCTGGAACATTACGAAATTTAGTCACGACCATAAATGCTAATGGACCCGCTCTTGACTGATTCCTTTTTAAATCCGACGTTAGTAAATATATGACTTGACCGTATATAAAAATCGAGCGATCGCGTGTGTTGGAGCTGCTCGTCTCACGTTTCCAAATATTTTTAATTAAACAACGCGCAGATACGACTGTATAAATCACGCATGGTTTATTCTCGTACTCATATTCGTTTCGCTAACAACGGTAGATTATGACGGCAGATTGAGAAACTCATTTATGAGAAGCATTAATTTTATGGTTGTATATGCACTTCTTACAACATTATTCGAGCGTAACTATCCAGGTGCAAAAATGCCTAGCGAACCAGATATTCGATCATTATGAATATTAATTCGCGTTTCCTTCTGAAGCCCGTTTAACACGCGAGCTCTCAGGCAAACGTTTATTGCTAATGGATAAATCCGCTATCGACAGAGTAGCTCTTCTACACAACTCACAGACGGTCATGAGAAGATCGATAAACACGATTTGAAATCCGCGATCACTGGGTCATCCGGCGCTTCTTCTTGCCCGTCCTTGCTACATGTTCTGCCTGAAGTGGCAGCGACCGCAGCTACCGGTGTAGTGAGAGAAGTCGCGGCCAGCGACAGTTCTATATTCTGCTTCTTGACCTTGTCCCAGAGCGGCCTCCGGCGCAAACACTGTCTCAAGCATGTAGAAGTAGACTTTGCACAACCCGATTTTACAACAGCCGTTTACATAGAAAAGCTGGATATTAATTCTAACATGCGTGTACATAGTTCTTCTATTTAAATATAACTACTTAAACGAAAAAGAAAATGAATAACTTTATGTTAAACAAACGTCAACGTTTGACTTTCTGATTGAAATTTTAACGTAAATAATTATCATTTGTAAATAATATAACGATTATAAAATTGTGAACACTATCTATAAAATCTGAAGTAAGTAAACAAAGTATACCGTAATAATATTTATTAATAACCAAACAATTTGACGTACTTTAGTTCGTTAAGTACTTAAATATTTGTTGAGTCTATTTCTTGATAAGAAAAACAAATTTTTACATTTTATAATTTATCTATGTACACACCGAGCGATTGGTTCTTATACTGAATCTATAAATAAGAATTAATCTTGGTGAGTAGGCTGTATTCTAAAATCTATCGAAAAAATATATCGAAAAAAGAGTGCAATCTTTCTATGATCGACTGTATTATGTAAAAACTTGGAGTACAAATGTAAATTCTGTAGTAAGAAAAGAAATATCCATTTGTCGGGACGTATCCAACTTGTGCATCTATTTTCTCTAGATATCGAGAAAGTTACCCAAGATGCACATCCGGGATTTTTATATTCATAAAAGTTATGCAAGATGCGATGCGATATTCCGATAGAGTCGCATTTATTAATTTCAGACGCAATTCCTATTCGTCATATTCCGATTTCAAGGAAGTTACAAAAAATTGAATTTTATACAAGGAGGGGAATATATTCATTTGAAAAATAGCCCAAAAAAAAAAGATGCAGAAACAACAAAGATAGTATATGATATAGAATAATTATACATACGGGAATAAGCATCTTAAGTTTTCTTTTACACGGATTCGTTGAATACATTTTTTCTAAAAAATGCGAGGAATATTCGAAACGCGTAGCATCGGTGAAGATAATTTCAATAATGATGACGAGACAGTTCCAAGACGATGGTATCCTCGATCGAGCATTCGAAAGCGAGCGAAATGCTGCGTCGATGACCTGGAATGCTGGGCCAGAATTCGGTGACAAGTCGGTCCAGGGTATCTTTTTTGTTCCTGTCAATGTGTTTTAGTGTGCGTTCGATGCACCTGTCGTATCGTCAAGATGCTATCTCGAATTGTTGCAAAACGATCGACTAGAAATCATGAATTCTTCGTACAATTCTTGATAGTTTATAGAATGCATGTGCCGACAATATATTTGCCGATCCACAGGATCTATACAATTTGTAGCATTAAATCATAAAATTTAAATTAAACGACTTAGCCAAAGCTTTATATAACTACAAAACCATTTGATGCACACAGGCGGAAAAATGATATTGCTTCATAGATTAAAATTGAAAGATATGAGATAAAAATAATCCAAAGCTCTAATCTATTTTAAATTCTTCTATTCATATCTATGTTGAATCTGAATTTTAAGGTAGAACTTACTAAATATAGAAAAACTTTTATTCCTGCTCTAAATCAATTTAAATATAAATTAGATTAAAAATTAGCAAACTTCTACTAATTTTGGATTAAATATTTATTAGTTGGACATGTAAAATCTATTTTATCCTATCACTTTTAACTTCTTTTTTTCATCTCATCACGTGGCAAAAAGTATATCATCGAAAGCAAATACACATTGCGGAAATTTGATATAAGCACGCAGTTAGTATTCCCGAGTATTCCATGAATTCCTCTTTTAAGTAGTTATAGTACCATATATGAATTATAGGATATTTAGAGGATCCATTTAGAGGATATGTAACAAATTATGATACTTAGTTGCGTGATCTTGGCGATACGCCCGTAACGATTTAGTTATTTAGTTTTAGTTTCACTGACAATGAGAGAGAGAGAAAAAGCGTGGTTGTGAGATTAGATACGTCTCTGAAAGGGTTAATATGAGAAGCGTGCAACGGGAAAGTGAACTAGAAAGGAGCGCAGACATGGCAGACAATAGACAATGGACGCGACGAAAGAGTGAACGTAGATGCTCGCATGCTGCTGACAAGCACTTAATATATAAAATTACAAAATTTATATCGCCTGTCTGCTGCAATCGACGTAGTAGACGCGGCTGTTGACAGCACCGGCGTGGCGCGGCTCGCGTGACTCCTCGAGATTTACACGTCCTCGGGGAGAAGCGCTGCTCTAAATTGACATGTACCAATGATGATAAGTAGCCACCGGTCGAATCGGCCACCGAATAACGAATTTTGTTTTTGTTTTCAGGGATCAGGATGCGGTGGATCGGTTATGTGGCCACGATTCTCTGGTGGTCGGGCATCGCCAGGTCTCTCAGTACGCTGAATCGAGGTCACAGTCAGTAATATTCCTTTTGGTCATTTAAACGCGCCGCGCCGCGCCGTTTCGGTATCTCTGCGAATATACTGTACTCCTTGTAGTACGTCTTTTTCAGTGCCGCTGCCGCGAACACCCACCCCGTCTCGTACTTTCGAGCAGCCAAATGCACCTGCCATTTCTCCTCTTTTCTCACTTCTCCCTGTCTTCATTTCGCATCTGTCCTCCCTTTGAGGCATCCTTCTCCCGCCCGAAGATTCTCCATAAAGGTATAACGCTTAATTGGAAGGAGAACTCGGTCAAGGTGCAGTCGGTCGTGCATGAGCGTGAGAAAAGAAAAGCGAAAGAAGGTGCTACTTTCTTTTTGTTTCGATGAATCCCCGACCGAAGGGAGAAGCTTCTTTATCTATTATTTTTTTCCCTGCTCTCAGATAATTGATCTGCGCAATCAGCTATGAGCTTTGCCAACAAAGAACGCGGTGTCTTGACGTTCGTGTTGAAAGGAAATACTTGGCTCGAATCAACTCAGACATATTTTATACGCGACAATTTCGCAAATAGAATAATCGACATTAACTTATGACTTGCACAATTTGTAATTTTTGTAACGAGATCCACATCTGGCCAGCGAATGTCGAACGACATTAACGATCAATTCTCGAATAGTGGTTCGAATCCATTCAAAGGCAACTCGTGCAATAAAATCTTCTTTCCTAATGTGGACTCTTCCCCTTTATAACGTAATGCAGTCGACGATACAGGCTGACACGATCGTGTTTCTAGCGGTGAAAGCGACTGCGTGAAGCTTCTACATCGCATCGCCGCGGTCGTAATTTACGTTACCCGAGTCTTACCATGACTCGGTTAATGACTCGGCCCAGGTCTACGTACTCCTTCCAGTTATTAAGTTTCATTTTTTTTTTACACGATCTCTCACGCGTGCTTCGACAAGTGGTACACTTTCACCGAACTTGACGGTGAGGTAGACCTCATGTATAACATATGTGAGACAGTCTAATTGTCGAGCATGATATGACCTATCGTACTGTACCGTGCGACATGATGTCACGCAACGTCATCCTTTAGTATGCCCGTCAAGTTTAATACATGTAATCTTGTTACTCGGGGCAGGTTTCGCCCGATTTTTCGGAGGGCGTACATAGAAACACCGGTCTCTCACGAAATTATAAGTTGTTAAATTCCACCAAGACAGTATGATCGACGTTAGCGTGCTTTCATCGCGCATTAACGTTACAGCGCTGTCCGACTTCGGACTCTGACGTGAGAAATGTATAATGTAATGGAGACGTGAGATTAAAGTCAGTTACGTTTAACGGAGAACGTACGTAGGAAATAAATGAGATATTCGTCTTTTGTCGGCTCGCGTTTCTTAATACCGACGTATAATCCAAGGTTTCAAGACTCGAGCGCCGAAAGATGGGAACGTCTGAAATAGTCGATCTGTTTTCCATTTTGTGCAGGTTACAAAATCACTCCGAAACCTTGTAAAGTGCCCGGTTCGGAGAGCAAGGAAGGCACGTGCATGTTTGTGTGGGAGTGTATCAAGTCCGAGGGAACGCACGTGGGTGTGTGCGTGGATACCTTCATGTTCGGCAGTTGCTGCGTTCACAACACGACAGTAAACACGATAGGCACGTTTTATCATCCTCATAATCATTATCAGCAGCACCAGCAGCAACACGACGGTACGACGAGTACGCTCAGGCCAGGGTTACTTCTGGCGGAGCCAACCGGGAACGAAACCATCAGATTGACGTCGACTTCCCTCTTGGGATTCTCCTCGACAGCGTCAACCACCGCGAAATCGAATCTCCATCACTTCTCGGGATCTCACGGCTCCGAAAGCTCGACCAAACCGATGAAACCATATTCGCACGGTGTCGGAAGGCCTTTGCAGAAAAGGCCGCACGCCAAACCAACATCCGAGCACGAAATCGATGTACTGCAGACCCCCGCAGTGTCCTCCGTGTCTACGGACACGTGGGCGGAAGGAAGACCGCAAGGAACGAAGAGACCAGGTCATCATCCGGGTCATTCTCATCATCACAAGACGAGGCCGGACGATGGAACGCCGAGTGACAATCCATCGTCCGTTCTAAGCCAGCCGGGTTTCAAGGACAAGCTGGAGACACACAACACTTTAATAGTTCGCTTGCCGGGGAAGGAACACGCCGATGATGAAGTCGTTGATTCAAGTGACCTGAACAAACAGGGCAAACCGGGTAAACCGGGCAATCAAAGGCCCTTTGAGTCGAGACCGGACGATGGGAAGACTGAAGATGTTGATCTCAGCGTTCAGGAAACGATAAATCGACCGAATGTCAATTCCGTCATTGAAAGCGTAAGGAAGAAAATTTATTATTATATCGTGATGACTCTATGATTATAACTCGTGATTCAGCGAGATAACTTTAAAAGGATTTCTTGTATAACATTCTTCTCTTGTCGTCGAGAGTTCACTTTCTTTAGATCAGTCAGGCACCTATTTTTGAGAGTTTATTTAAATTATAAAAGATACTTTGTCCATTTTGACTATTATAATAAAATTATATTAAGAGGTAAAAAAAAAAACTAAAACTGTCTTATCTAGTATTTCTGTAAAAATTGTACAATTGCATTTATTAAATTAAACAAATTAATATTTATGTGATGAAAATTTAATAAAAATATTCCTTTGACTGGATACAGTTGGAAATATAATATTTATATCGCAGCTAGCAAAGTTATTTTAGGTGCGATATAAGCAGCGAGTTTAATGGAATATTGATTTTCCGCCAGGAACCGGGGAAAGAGACGCATCCGGGCTTGAATTTCGTGCACACTGAACGGCCGCACTGGGCAACCAAGCCAGCACAGTCAAAACCATCGTCGACAGATTTCTCAAAGCCGTATTTTTCAATTAAAACGACCACTTATCGACCAATAAGCAGTCAACCAGATCATAGGCCGAATTTTATCTCAAGGCCCAACTGGATACTATCCACGAAAACGTCGACGACAACGACTGTCAGACCGACGTACAGACAGCCTTCCACCAGGTATGCAACTAGTTTTTAAGTCGTCTGGTTTTTAAATCAGTTAGTATGATTAGTATATTCAGTCGAATTTACGCCCATTGCATATCGAGCCCAACTTAAAATTTATCTTTCATTCTAGCGCAGCCGGATCCGTGCCACAAACCTCTCACTGGCAAGTGACTACAGAACCGGCATTCGTCACAAAACAGAAACCGTCATCGTTGTCCTCATCCTTGCCAACATCATTCTCCTCGCTTTCATCGTCGTCGTCATCGTCTTCATCAGCGTCTTCGTCAGCATCTTCATCATCCAAACCGATAATCGCAATTACTGTGCCGGAAACCGTACGAATTCCGTCTTTAGGTACGAGTTCTCATTTCTGGTCGAATAGCTGGACACCACCTAGGCCGTCCTTGAAACCTCACTGGACTGATAGTCCCAGCCTTCTTCAGAACGGCCCGGAAAACTTTCCTCCGCGACCGAGTCTAAAGCCAACCGAGTCGCAACAGGTACGAAGTCGTTTTCTTTTCTTCATAGGAATTAATTATGCTGCCATAATTAATTCTTTCCTTCTCATGTTTAAATCATAAAGTCGAAAGCGTGTAGGACTGTATAAAATTTGTAAAAATTATTGTTAAACAAAAGATTTCTCCCGGAAAATGTTAATATTTATTTATCCTTTCACACATCATCTGATACTTATTTATTAAAATTGATAAATACATTATTAAAATTTTAGAAAAACAATGAGATCTTGTCTATAACATTGTTAACATTAACACTTGACTTCCTGATGTTTTTCATTTTATAGAGCACCGAATATCAGAAGCCCTTGGGTTCGGCACATTACATAACAACATCCCACTTGGAGACTTCAACTAGGCCGCGGCCCACGAAGAAAACCACAATGCAAAGCACAACACCGTCCACATTGACGTCCTCCACCAGCGGTACCAGTCCGACGAGCACGACGGTAACGATGACGACCACGAGCAGCACGACCAGCGCAAGCAGCACGAGTACCACGAGCGTCACTACGACGCAAGGATTATCGACCACCGAAATGACGGCAAGCGAGAAGGCAACGGGTTCGGTGATGACTGTCGCGGCCGCTAACGAGAGCAAGAACATGCAGTGTGGAGTGCCACCGTTATTTCCGCGGCCAGAAACGAGGATTGTCGGTGGCAAGGACGCGTCGTTCGGTCGATGGCCATGGCAGGTATCCGTACGTAGGACCTCCTTCTTTGGTTTCTCAAGTACTCACCGTTGCGGCGGGGCGGTACTCAATGAGAATTGGATCGCCACCGCAGGCCATTGCGTCGACGAGTGAGTATGCTACATTATTTCCATCGTCCTTCAATTACGACGTGCACCGTTAAATTTTGTCCGTTTCAGTTTGCTGACGTCGCAAATCCGGATACGAGTCGGCGAGTACGACTTCTCGTCGGTACAAGAGCGACTGCCCTACGTGGAACGTGGAGTCGCCAAGAAAGTCGTGCATCCCAAGTATAACTTCTTCACGTACGAGTACGACCTCGCGCTAGTGCGCCTCGAAAGTTCCTTGACATTTGCCGCGCACATCTCGCCTATCTGCCTACCAGCCACGGATGACCTCCTAATCGGAGAGAACGCGACAGTCACCGGCTGGGGAAGATTAAGCGAGGGTGGAACGCTACCTTCTGTATTGCAGGAAGTAATTATTGTTTTGCTAATTAAATCCTTTGGATTTATATATGTCTTTAGGTTCCACCAACTTTTATTATTCTCTCTTTCAAGGTCTCCGTGCCGATAGTGAGCAATGATAGGTGCAAGTCAATGTTCTTGAGGGCCGGTAGACACGAGTTCATACCGGACATTTTTCTTTGCGCCGGTTACGAGACTGGCGGGCAAGATTCGTGTCAGGTACGTGCATAAGAATACTTAAATCGAACTACTAGCTGTTCATGTATCCAAATTTCCACTGAGAGACTTTTACGTTCTTGCATCTCACAGGGCGACTCCGGAGGACCTCTCCAGGTTCGCGGAAAGGATGGCAGGTACTTTCTCGCGGGTATCATATCTTGGGGCATCGGTTGCGCGGAGGCTAACTTACCGGGTGTCTGCACGCGGATATCCAAGTTCGTACCATGGATTTTGAAAAACGTCATCTGATGTACTCGATGATGAACGTGGAGAGACATAAGGTGACTTTCGAATTCAGACGAAATTTATCGCGTAAATAAATAATTCGCAGTGTCGTCTCGTGCGATATTAAAAGACATTATCCTAGAATTTTCACGCGATTGAAAATACGACTACTATATCGTTTGCATTTATTTATTTGCATTTACACTGCCACTCACGGAATAAAGATCCTGGTTACTATATATATGAAAAATATATATCCGACACTAAAAGATGTGAAATAAGATCATCGTCGGGAGTTATCGAATATACATATATATTAGTGACGTATGTGAAATCTCGTGCATTGTAGCAGCACACTGAACTGTATTTATATAAAAGTACGTAAGGAAATAATATATTTGCTAGATTAAGGCTAAATAAACAAGGGAAGTCTCAATTGTGTAATAAAAAGATCAAAGGAATAGTCCGATTTCGAAGATACATCGTTATCATTCTTGCCACTTCGATTCGAATATGAAATACAACACACACACACACACACACACACACACGCGCGCGCGCGCATATATACTGACAAAATTACGAAAAAATCGTAAATTTGTAAATTACATAATCGTCGATCTATTATATTGTTGTAAAGTCAATTTTAAAGCTAGATATCAATTCTGTAACTTAGACAAAAGAGTTAAAGAAAATCAGGGAAAAGTATAAATTCCTTTCATAATAATTGCGATTTTCATAGTAATTCTCATAATTTTCGAAACAAACATATAAGTATCTGCTTTTATTGATTAGCAAGATGTATAGAAAGTTTGCCTTTCGCTCTATAGCGTGAGACAGCTTGAAATATTCTTCCAAATGCTCAATCCTACACATTTCAAGTTATGCTCATTGCTATTTTTTTATCTTTAATATTTCTTTATTTACAAATAGGAATTTTTGTACAGAGCACAATATTAATTGCGTGTACTTGATAATAATTGTGTGCGAGCTATAGGAGAAGTCCACATTATGGAATTATTTATAAGTGTCGTCAAATAAACGAGTGTTTATTTAAACCTTAGATCTAAATCATATCCCTACAATATTCTCGAATTAAGTGGATCGTCTACTCGTCCGGCGATTAAACTTACTGAAGTCTCGGTGTCGACGATGAAATAAAGGAAGGGATGCAAAACTGTAAAGGGTTCAGGCCCAGCTCTTTCAAATAGACCATTACCTAAAAAGAATTCATAATTATTTTGTAAATAATTATTTTAATCAGAAAATATTAAAAATGTTTTTAATATTTAATAATATTTTTAATATTTTTTGTAATATGCACGTTATATTTTATAAAAGATAAAAAATTATGTACTTTCCAAAGAGATAATAATATTCAGTAAAAATAAATTCGCAAAAAGAATATTTACACAGTTTTTAATATTCTATGTCAATTACAGAGCTAAAAAATTTTGCAATTTTGATGTGCGTAAAAATATAGCAGTTTAACCGCGCATAATACAAAGCTAATACTTCGTGCTATTTTACATAGTGCAGAGGAATTAGAAAGACGTTTCAATTATGATGGAAAAATTAATAAGAGGTTTGGAGTGTAATGTGTTTAGCAAGTTTTCAAGGAATCAAGGCTATGTTTCTTGCGCATTAGAAGAAAAAATATAGGTGTACAACTTTTCTTCCGCCGTTTTCCTATAGATGGCTTTAGCGGTAAGTGGTGGTCGAAATAAATAGATCATAGACGTCATACAATAAACTTGGGCATCTGTCAACATAACCCCATAGAAACATTAGTCGATTTATGTCTGCATCATAAAGTTATTCTCGATTGAAAATGTCAGTTTACGAGTCAAATTCTCGTCATTTGCGGGAGGTTTTAATTTTTTGCTTCAATATGAAGAAATCTGCGGCTGAGGCTCGAATGCTCTCAAATACTTATGGTGAGGCCGCTATTAGTGAAAGAACGTATCGTGAGTAGTTTCAACGCTTCAAGAACGGTGATTTTGACGTCGAAGACCGGCATAGGTGGAAGAGAAAAGGTTTTCGAAGATGCAGAATTGGAGGCATTACTTGAGCAAGACTCGTGTCAAAATCAAGAAGAATTGGCACGATCATTGAGAGTGACTCAACAAGCCATTTCAAAACGCCTCAAAGCCATGGGAATGATTCAGAAGCAAGGAAATTGGGTGCCGTACGAATTGAAGCCGAGAGATGTTGAACGGCGTTTGTTTGCTTGTGAACAGCTGCTTGAAAGGCAAAGACGGAAGAGATTTCTGCATTGTGAGATTTCGCATTATGACTCGGGACGAAAAATGGGTTCATTACGATAATCCCAAGCGCAGAAAATCATGGGGAGTTCCCGGCCATGCTTCCACATCGACGGCCAAACCGAATATTCACGGCTCCAAGGTCATGCTCTGTATTTGGTGGGACTAGCTAGGCGTAGTGTATTATGAACTGTTAAAACCGACTGAAACAATCACAGGCGATCGGTATCGAATGCAATTGATGCGTTTGAGCCGAACATTGAAAGACAAATGGCCGCAATACAACGAGAGACATGATAAAGTGATTTTGCAGCATGACAATGCTCCATGTTGCGAAAGTGGTCAAGACATACTTGGAAACGTTGAAATGGGAAGTCCTACCCCACCCGCCGTATTCTCCAGACGTTGCTCCCTCTGACTATCACTTGTTTCGATCAATGGCACACGGCCTGGCTGACCAGTACTTCCGGTCTTAAGAAGTAAAAAATTGGATCGATTCGTGGATAGCCTCAAAAGATGACCAGTTTTTTCGACGCGGGATTCGCGTTGATGGGAGATGGGAGAAAGCAGTGGCCAGCGATGGATAATACTTTGAATCATAAATGTATAACCAGTTTTTTTACAATAAAGCCTCGAATTTCGGAAAAAAACGGCGAAAGCAAAGTTGTACACCTAATATATGATTATGATATGATGAAACTATAATATATATATATATATGACTGACTGACGTAATGCATTGCAGATTGACACAGGTCAATCTTTAGATTTCTAGATGTTCATTGACTCCCAATGCACGCGTCCTTCCTTTCACTGAGTTGACAAAACTTCTTACCGTTGTATTTTTACAACAGTTAGTTTTTATACGAAAAAAACGTAATGTTCATAAACAACGGAGATAAGAATCTAGTGCAGTAAAAACAATATTTTAATTTTTTTTAATGATTATTATTATCAGCTTGATAAAAGATTTTATTTAGTTGTCATTTTCAACTATGTTAAGCAAAGAATTCCGTTAAAGAACTGAATAGATAGTTAGATAATGTTATATAGAAAATTATTATATTGAAAACTCTGAAAAGAAAACTATAATAATCTCTTGTTTTCTAAATATTTTATCATTTTATCATACAATTTGTATTTATTTAAAAATAAATATATACGCGATAAAAATAACTGAAAAAATAATTTCATGGAAACGCTGCAACGCCACAATGATTCAGGAATCCTCGGTGAATGTAAAAAGTGATGGCGCAAGATCTTTTATTGACTTCCTTTATGGACTTGAGCAGGATATCAGCAATTAAATTCAGTGAACTGAACAACAATACTGAGAATGTTTCCAACAGTAATCGATAATTTTGCTTGAAGCTTCGCCTAGTGGCGTGAAAATAAATATTGCCTAGCTATTCGTCCTTGGAACTCATATTTTCGCAGATACGGTTTATTTACATCTCGCGACTGCATCATAATTTTTCAAGATTAAATCCTATAAATTACATAGAATTCATAAAAATATATGCGTTTTTATAAAAACGTTTAGCTGAATTATCTGCTGAATTAACTTGTAATTTAACGGTGCATTGAAGAGATAATGACAAATACTCGCATAATTATCGTAAAGATGTAATTTAGCGAGAAATATTCGTTTCCGATAATTTCTCAATCTTAAACGGAGGACAACGTTTTTGAATTTTGAAAATCTTTGATAATTTTGACATTATTTTCAAAGAAACGGATTAATTTTCATCATTAACGACACTGTTGACGTTAAGTAATGAAGATGTAGTGGAACGTGAGAAAAAGCGACGACGGAACAAGCGGAAGCGAAAAAGAGAGAAAAGAAAGTGAAGAAATGACTGACAATGAGTAGCAGCAGTAGTAATAGCTAAATAACCGGCCGTTAGATGTGTGTTCACTACGCGTAGACGGATACATTGTCGCCGTTTACAAATTATGTGCGCAAATTATGTTTCTGGAGGATACTTGAGCCGTACGCGTGAAACTTTGTAATTTCACTCCTTAATACCGGATATTGCGTCAACGTAATTATTTCTTCGAACATTATCTCCGGCGGAATCGCGACGTCGCTATTCCGCCTTGCTATTTGTTTCTTTCTTCTACGACAAATTAATAATACTTAAATCACCTAAATGCCATTCAATGCCAATAACATCTGATTAACCGAGCGCTCGAGACGTATCGAAACGCTCACCAATTTCGAATGCTACCTAAGATGGTTTAATTCTAGGAAATCAAATTGATTACTCGTATCAAGTTGTCAACCAATAAATATAATCGCGTGAAGTAGCATCAAGAACGGAAAACGTGGCGAAATAATGAATAATAATAAGAAGCAATGTGTAAAATATCTGATAATATTAAATATATGAAAAAACAAAAATTAAAATAAACTTGTTTATTTTATCGATAAACAGTTACTCGGATGTTTGATTCGCACTGACAGAGTTATATTATTACATTTAAAGAAGGAAGCAATTTACAAACGGTAAGAGAAGCGAAAAAAGGATAAAATATTGTATATATTTAAGAAATGAAGGAATATTACAAATGCTAAAGATTATACACGTAACGCGCAAAATTGTATAAATTGGACTCTTAAATTCAGGATGTCCGCATTAAAGAGCAAGGAATGCACTTATACGCATGGAAACGATTACCGTTACGGGATAATTGAAAGGAGAGTGCGATAGTGCATGAAAAGCGTAAGAGATTAAAAAGAACCTGGCGGTAGATATCGATAATAGTCCCTTCGAGGTGGAACGACATTAGACGACTCACGAGAATGGGTCCGGTCGGGTTTCATATAATTCCTTATATTGACCCCTATACTCTGTTGCACGTCTCTAGCGTATACACCGAGATCGGATGTCATGGGTGATAAATCGGCTACTCTCGGCTCGAACACATCCAGGATGCCCAGCTATGAAGGAAACAGGTAAATGAAGGAAAATCTTAAAGAGATTACGCAAATCTCGATGCAAATATCGAGGCAAATATGCACCAGTCACGCATAGGTGTCGATAATAATCTTGATTTATCCTTTCTCAACCTTCTCTACTCACGAAACGTTAAAAAAAAAAATGTCTTTTTGTTGTATTCAAGATTATATACGATGTCTTAGGAAATTCATTTGAAATAATTCAGAACGAGTAAATAAAGTAAGATGTAATTTAGAATCACAGATGACATTAAATAATTATTTCAGATATTTATGTGAACTTCTCATTATTCGTGAATCCTTGAGATAAAAGTTTTTAAAAATGGAAAATTATATAAACTGTAGAGAACTACTTGACACCTTCATGCGCGGTTGACTGTAAATCCGGAATGTATTTTTCTATTCTACATTTGGCATTGATAGGACATTGACGTCAAAGAGGACGTATTATTCGCTTACCCTTTGCAAAAATGACGTCAATGTGACGAAACCACGCAGCATGAACGAAGGTATAGTGGCCCTGACCCAAGTAGGCTGTAATCGCTTCCTCAACAATCTCAATGACTTTCCGCTAAGATCCCTCGCCAGACGAAGCGTGTCCGTTTTATCCGTGGGCATGAAAAGTATAATGTTGTAGCGGGGATCCTTGATATTAAGAAAATAAGAGATATTCTTTATATCACTCACTTTAAAGCTATAACTGCTTGAAACTACTTATTTTTAAAAAATTTATGTCTAATTTCTAAAATCCAATATTGACCAAGACTATTTATTTTAAGCTAGAACAATTATTTAGAAAAATTTTTTAGAAAAATTATTTAACACAGATAGAATTGCGCAATTCTCATTTTTAAGAATTGGAAAAGTTTTAAATTAAAGATTAATAAATCAATTTAAAATAATTCTCTGAAGTTTAGAAAAGATGAATTAATAAATTATATTGAACCTTCATACAGACTTACGTCCAAAGGAAATTCGAGCGCGACAGCTTGCAACGATGGGAAATACGCGAAAGGCAATACGGCAATGTATCTCGAAGCCGATACCGAAGAAACGTCGCAACCGTTCACCAAAAACGACATCTCCGCTGAAGTATCTCCGTTGGAGGATTCACTAGGGTTTGCTGTATTATACGACTTCCAAATTTCTAGATTTTGCATCCAAATACCTTCGTCTGAAAAACAGGAAATCGAATTCCATCAGTTATTTAGCATTTTCTATTTAGGAAAAGAATTTTTTCTTAATCTCATATAAATGCATGTAATTTTCACTTTTTCCGCTAACAAAACATTTGATATTCATAATTTGATATTCGATAATTGCATAGTTTATGTATGGAAAGAGAGAAATAATTACTATAAATATAAATAATTTATTATTGGAGAGAGAAGAGAGAGAGGAATTTTCCTGCATAAATAATTTATTATTGAAATTTTCCTACTTAAGAAGATTTAACTCATAACTTTCAATTCGTAACACGAGCGACTTTTTCACGAGCGATTTATTCGAAAAAGATATTCATTAACTGAATGTACCTGGATAGCTAGAGAAATATCCGCGCAGGCTTCTCGCTTTGCGAAGATTCGGCGATCTATCGTGTGACTCATCTTTAACGGTATTGCTGTTAATTATACTATCTAACAGATTAATTATATCTTTCTTTTTTCGATTCGAAATCGTATTTTCATCCACAAGAGATGCAACCATTTGATTTATAGAACTCATCATAGAATTCGCGATTGTAAAGTTATTTCCAGCAAGATTGTTCGCGTTTGTTGCTGAGACAGATGGTACCGCGGTCGTTACAGAACTGACTGCGATAGCATCGTCAATATTGATAGTCGTCATTGTGAGGTCATTTGCAGCGATCATTCCTGGAGTATTTCCGATCGGAGTATCTGCCGATGTTTCGGTACTCGATTGCAAATTAACGCCGTTCACCATCATCGTTTCAGTAACGGGACTCGAGATAGTCACGTCCGCGCTATTCAACATTACTGGTACTACAGTAGTTAACGAATTCATAATAACGGTATTCAAGGTTGCATTGGGAATAGTTGTATTAGCAGACGTCATGTTAACGACTAAGCTGGCGACTACTAATGCGTCGATACTTGGATCCGTGACGATTGTAGTCGGCGAGTTCGAACTCAACATATTTGTTATCATTGGTATCTCGGTATTCGTAGCAAAAGTTGAAACATCAGTATTCATCGTCACGTCAGCATCAATCACAGTTGCTGTCGTTCCTGCGCCTGTCGATGGTTGAACGCTCTCGTTAGAAACGCTAGCACTCGTTGCACTATCGCCAGCGATGACTGTTGGGGAAGTTTGCTGACCCTGATTACCCGCGACGGTGACTACATTTGTAGTTGGAATCATTTGACTGTCTGTGTTTACTATTGGAGTAATCGTATTCGACGAACCTACGATAGTTTCCGCGGATGAAGTCGGCTGGATACTTTCGCCGGAAGTAACCAAGGAATTTATCGATTGCGTTGGCGATATATTCTGGACAATTGTTCCGGTGCTGGTGACCGAAGCCAATGTCGATTGTACATCGGTTGCACCCGTCGATGCCATCGTGACAGTTTGCTGAGTAACGCCCGCTGCGGTCGATGGAACGACTGTTGTTTCCGCACCAGCCGGAGGAAGCGTCATGATTGCACCCGATGTTGTCGTTGTCATGTCCGGCACATTCTCAGTGTTTGCCATCTCTGTTGATGGCATGCTTGAGCCGATCGTGGATGTCGGAAGTTCAGTTATACCTGATGAGTCTTCCATACTAACGGTAACGTTCACCTCTTGTTCAATACTCGACAAATCGAAGCCATAAAATCTCAGAATGTCTTCATAGTCAGGACGAAGTTTGGTATTTTCTCTGCTTAGTGTCAAACCACCCAGGAAACCATCGGCGTTAAGGTAACTCTTGAAATCAACATCAATATAAAAAGTTTAATGTGTGTAATTCTCTTATTATTTGTAACACTCTAATCTCATTTATAACAATTATCAATTTTTTTAAATATCAGACTGCTCCTCGCTCTAATAAAAACTGAATGAATGTTGTGAACTGCAATCACAAAACATTGGTATTCTAATAATCTGGACACGGAAATAATTCACTTAGCTTCTATATAATTATCAATTTCGTTTCTCAAAGAGATGAATACATTTAATAATAAAAATTCAGAAAAATATATTAAATCATACATTTAGAGCAATATATATCGAATACATCAAATTTTGTATGAGACGTGATAGAAAGAGTCTAAAAAGTATCTAAAAGATATCCAGGAAAATATCTCTCGAATTTCTTTGAGAAGTCATCTAAGTATTGATCTTGTTCATGTTGCTTGCATTTTCTGCATCTTCGCTTTCTTTTTCTTCAACGTTCGAATATATTATATTTATTTCGTTTTAAGTGCAAAAATTTTGGAATTATTTCAAGCAATGCCAGATCTATTATATGGAATCTTACTCGTAATCGTCGGTGAATATCCCTGAAACCGATCCTGGTAACATCCCGGTTGGTTGGTAGGCCTATGGCCTCGGCGATTTGTTGACTTCCTCTACCCGCGGATCCTTCGTAGAGCGCCGCTAGTACGAAGGCAATCCCCGTTGGCGAGAAAGCGACGTTTCCACGCGTCAAATATTGCTGAAGGATCCTCACCCCGAGCTCGTTGACGACATCGGTGATCACGTCAACTGGACGGTCCGTGTCCGTGCGATACCAAGGATGATCGTACCTATAAGCGAATGCGGACGATACTGCTGCAACATAACATCAGTGGGAAACTTTAAAATTCATAACATTGCGTGCGTGATTTGATGCATTAGTATATATCATTTGTTTCTCTAACTTGGAGTCTTCCCACGAATAACACCGCCAATTTCTTCACGAAATGCAATCATATTTTAACATGAATCTTCTAGAAATTTGCAATACAATTCTACTTTACTTTCTCTCTTTGTATAATTCATATTGAAAAAAAAGAATGAATGAAATATTTTTATTTATCTGTATTTATTTGTTTCGCTTTCGATATGCGAAGGAGAGGCTTCAATTTTCAAACTCGTGAGAATCGCCTTGCCGGATTGATCCTCTAATTCAAATCGCAAAGTAATCGAAACGGCCTTACGTACCCTGCAATATTACAATCAGGTGCAATGACTTTCCCATTGTTTCCGCTGCTTCCTTCTCGATGCTCCGATCGTTACGTCGAGCCGGAGACGGAGTCCGCGATGAGATCCAGCTGGTTCTAATGTTAGGATTAGCCTTAGCCGTCCGCGCTCTACGTCGGGACTGGCTCACGTCGGAACGCGCGGATCAGATACGCTAGGCTAGCCGCCTAGCTCGTCGGGGCTCGTGGTTCGATTAAGACCCGCTCAAGGGGCCCGTCCGACTTCCGAGGCGTGCGAGGCCCGCTCAAGGCCCGCTCTTGAGGGGGCCCGTCAGAAGACCGCCAATTACTACCGCGACTTCTTAAGTGGCTAAGGTCGTAATCCCCGTTAAATTGCGCACATAGCTTCCCTCCAAGCAGTCAATTCCTTTTCTTGCCGCTCTTCGTCGCTATTCTTTTAGAGGCTTCTATCTCTTAGCGTTTCGACAAGAAGGGGATCTTAAGTGTGTCGCTGCATCATCTGTATTTACGTTTATGATCTCGAGTACCATTGCAGAACGTGAAATAGATGTGTGCTCTATTCACAATGACAAAGATATTACGAATTCATTGAAATAAATATATATATATCAGTGATTGGCCGAAAGATACTGTGACGTAAATAAACTTCTTCAGGATTCATATTATTTGGTCACATTATTACATTTTTTTATATTGTTCATATAAATGAAAATTGTTCATGTCAAATTCAAACATTGTTGATTGAAATCCAAAAGAAAATGCGAAGAAACGTTAGAGAAAGAAACTTGCGAGAAATTAATTGCTTTATTTAATTAATTAAATAATTAATTATAATTAATAAATTAAAAATGATATTCAGAATTAAATTAATTAATAAAAATCAGTTATAAAAAACAAGTATGTCACGCTTTCGTGCGTGACGAAATGTTTCTTCTACTATTTCGCATGTCACTCGCTGGTATACTGACTGACTCCATTCGTAGTACACTAATCGAGCGAGCCGAAAATTCCTCTCTCTGTCGATCGGCAGCAATCACACGTCTATATATCTGTGCCGACCACAAATCTTCGAAAATATGCGGATATTATCGCGCATGATAACGGTAGTGGCGATCGTCGGCGGTCGCACGAAGGAATATAGTGAAGGCGCGGCGAGGATCTGCTTTCGACTGATCCAAGTGGGAGGATCTTCGCGAATGAGACATTACGTAATATCGTAGTGACTTTTACCGCGCGTTGCAGACGGCTGTCGAATACGCAATCCAGAATCCAGGATCTGACGCGTGAGCCAACAATGGAATTGGACAAGGATCATTATCCTGCGCACGCCAAGCACAATGTCTTCGCGTGCGTTCTTTTTCATCCTCTTTCGTTCCATTACATTCCGATTTCGCTCGCGAAACGAATTATTATCGGCACCGAACAGAGTTTGAACCCGCAGGGTTCGCGTACTACATCCTCATCTACACGGAAAGAACGATTTTGTTGAAGTATCTAAAAATATAACAAGATATAAATCTGAAAATAATTTTGTTTTATCATTAAAATAATTATGTAGGAACTCAAGCATAATGAACAATGCCGCAAAAAATTTCAACATTCTAGCAATCAGTTTGAATGTACTACATAATTATTTTAATAACCCAACTTTATGTTCAGATTTCTATAACTATTTGAACTTTTAAATATTTCAGTAAAATCATTTTTCTCATGTATCTCTACTCATGATATTCACCAAACATTTTTAAACGCACATGTCGAACCGGAACAATCCCAAGGTAATAAACTTAACGATGATTGATGTGCAATTCGTTTAAGTCAGTTTCAAGTATCCGTTCACGATAAAAAATAGACTTATCAATTTGAAAGAAATCCTACAATAAAGGAATCTTTATCTATTTTTAAGATTTTTTTGTTTGTATTGTAGAATGTTATTTAAAGTAGTAATTCGCACGAAATTTATAACGCTTATCTGATATCTTTCATAATTATTTTTAATATAATGACAAAAAATAGTCTTATTTTTAAAAGTCTTATTTTTAAAAGAATAATTTTTTCAGTTGGTTTTACACTGCGTAATTACGTATCAAATAATGAGTTTTGTCTCAAGAATAAAACTTGTACTAAGCGTAAAAACGTATATTTTATATCAATTTGCAAAGATCTTTCTAAAATTTACGTTAACTGTAAAATACAGCTATACAACTGTAAAATAGGTAACTGTAAAAGAAAACTTCTGTGTCAAAAAACTGTGTCACCTAAGTACATAATTTACAATTAAATAGTCGGTACATGTAGCTCGAGAAGTTATATACTCGCTCTATACTTACGCTCTATACTTAAGCGAGAATGGTCCCTGTAATTAACACTAGATATAAGCAACGATAAAGTTTAATTGCGCATGCAGATGTTCTAGCCGTGAAGCTATTTCGCGAGAAGTAGAAACGTATTTAATCTATCATCTATCCTCGGCTGTATTCGATTCAAGGGATAAAAGGCTGAATCAATTTACGCTGCTTCGACACTTGCCGCTTATGACAGCAAAACTCGCAGCACAGAAGAAATATCGATCCGGTCACGCCTGAAAAGAGCACAATGAGAAATCGCTTTTACTCCCACGAGATATTATTATACTCCCCGAACGACGGTATCGCAAAAAACACATTACCCATGAAAAGCACGAAAAATATGCCCTGCATATCCGTGACGTTTACTTTGCGCTCTTCCACGACCTGGTTGGCGAAACTGTCCGAGCATTTGTCTTTCACTGGTATTTGCTCCGCTATCCATTTGTTCATTAATCCAGACTCGTGCATGCGGTGTAACCTAAATGACGAAGTTTATTCGTTTACTTAGTTAATAATTGACTTTGGCAAAATAATAGATATGAATGGGATTATTACTAAATTACGACAGTCACAAAGTGATTTATCGATAACAAAGATAAAACTTTATAATAAATTCAACAGAATTTATGTGCAATTTACCATATCATTAAAAAAAATTGATAAAAATTACGTTGAAAAAGTTGATAATAATAATTATTACACAGTATCAATAGTAATTATTTTATTGTTGTGAGATAATTAATGTATAATAAAACAAATTAATTAGCTTACTCAGCGTTGATGATTTTTATGTAAGGACTATCTTTTGCAATAATCATCGCTATGGGCTCATCCATAAATTCATCAGTGCTCAAAGAAAAGGCACATCCCTTAGTTAATAACAGGTCACTTCTCATCAAGAATCTGCTCGGGCAATGCAT